CTGCATATTTTCTAAAATAATGAATCGATTTTCAAAAAGTAAGAATCTATGTATAGAGAATTAAAAACCCTTTCTAATGACCCCCCACTTGACCCCCATTCCCATTTGAAAAAATTTAGGGGATAGCACCCCCACTTAGGGGGTTGAAGATTTTGGTATGCTTTTTGAGCCAAAAGTTGTCCCCCTCAGAAACAAATTTGACCTGTTTTTGGATTTTGCCGAAAAGTTCTTTACTACCCTGTAATGCCTTGCGGTACGTTTTCGATGGGCTACCCTGTATATTGATTTGGGACGCCTTAGATTAACTACGGCTAATATCAAGGATCTGGCGATTCAGGACAAACGCAATTAGAAGAGCATTATGGGAACAATAGAAAGGATTATGAGGAGGAAGGAGGCGCAACAAATCGGATAGACGGGTATCGCGCCAAATAATTAACTGAACATCCGGATAAGTCGGGGCAATGAGGTGGTTGTTGCGAAATGTGTTTGGTATGAGTGTTGTTTTTGTTAGCTTTGTTTGTTTTTGTTTGTCTTGTAGATTACCAAAATTGGTCATTTTCTCTGTAGCTTTTATTAGAATTTAATAATAGAAATTACGTCAACTGTGCGACCCCCGATCTTGATGTTAAATCTAAACAGGTAGTTCCGAGATCGCGGATCGGAGGAGGAGGGAGGAGGGTAAAAAAAAGATTAGGTTAGGTTAGGTTAGGTTAGGTTAGGTTAGGTTAGGTTAGATTAGGTTAGGTTAGGTTAGGTTAGGACGTCGTTGAGGGGCTTAGTATACTCGATGAATCCGAGAGCGATGTGGGACGGATGTGACCCGCTGGCTTTGGTCGAAGACGAGAGCAGAAATGAAGCTAAAGCTCTTTTCACTTCTTTATCATCTTTTCTTCCTCTCATTCTCCATACCTTCCTACTCTTCCTTCTTTCCGGGGGTGTCTATTTTGTCTTTGGATCTTGCTCTTCAGCATTTGCTCTCATCTTGGGCGGGATATTTTCTTTATCTACCTTACTATTGGCCTTCCTTGGCCTCTCTTGTTTTTCCGGTCCCTACGCTATTAGGTTACTCGAGGGTTAGGGACCTCTACTTTCTTTCTTGCTTCTCGTCTTCCGGATGGATGGATTCACGTTGACGACCCAGGCTATGAAAGAGCGTTTTTCTCTTTGAAAAATATGGACAGGTCAAAAGAGGAAAGCGCTGCTACGGAGCAGGGGAGGCAAACCCCACTTCTGGTCGGAGATGGGGGATGTAGGGCGGACCCCCGCCGACCGTTATCCGGAGACCGTCATGGGTCTGGGGTGGCTTACCGAGCCCCTACCCTGAGACAAGCGATCGGCAACATGACGGACCTAGCAATGAACACGGCACACGATTCTGAAATAAGGTGGGGCGAGCAACGAAGAGTTTTGGTTGAGGATGAGCGAATACTTCTTGAGGGAGTGTCGAAGAGAGTGCAGGGTAAGTCTGCTCTGACAAAATTAAAATGGTCACCGAGCAAAGCACTTTCGGCACCTTGTTTGCCGACTGAGAAAGTGGGAATTCTTGTCCTCAGTTGGGATGAAGTCGAGGGTCGGTCATTTAAGTCATTTAAGAGAAGGGAAATTGAACCTGAGCTGCAAAAAGACCAAGAAGATGAATTGGCGTTAGATGGGGAGAGGAGACTTGCCTCAACGCTGAGGAAGGTAACTAAGAATGTAGACAAAGAAGCGAGGTTGCTGATGTAGTTAACCCGGGAAAACATGAACACCAAACGTGAAATCCAGAATGCGGCAGTTAAAATGGAGCCTGGATCTCATGATCACAGAAGCGCAACAGGAAATAAAAAAATGGGATCGGAGGGATCTGCAAACTTGAAAGGAACAGCAGAAAACAGAGATGAGTCTGTGGTGGACAAGACGTGCCAGACGAACACATACATACATCTATAATCAAAAAAAATAAGAGACTTACAGACGAGTTAACCAGGCTTAGAGCAGATATAGGCATGCCAGACACATATCAAGGTTTTTTGGAAATCACCAATAAATGTTGGCCGGAGAAGGTCTCTAGGGCCGCCTTTATGGCAGAAGGACATCCAGTGAAGGCTAACAAAGATGCAGACCTGGTAGTATGGTATGATTCAGCACTTGGACTTACCAATATCCTCCGGGATGGGAAAAGCTTTTGAAGCGAGATTTCCGGAGATAGAGGAACTTACTGGAAAAGTTGACACGCTAGTAATAACAACCAAAAGGTTTGCGTGAACAGAGGCTGTCGGGTCGGAAAGATGGGTAAATAGAATTAAGTTAATTGACGATGGAGAGGACTTGTATAACACGTTAATTTACGCTATAGATTGGTGGAAAGGAGCGGAAAAAAATTAGCTCTATACCCTACACTCACTGATCCAGGGGGTGAAAACCTACGCAAGATGGTCGAAGGTATATTCAGAGGAGTAGGCATAAAATGGCCCACGAGAAAGCAGAGGGAGACTAAGAAGGTAGCAAGAGAGATAGGGGCTATCGTGGTGAAAGAGTCGCAAAAGTTATGCCGACCTCTTAAAAATGGTCAAAGAGTATGCTGAGTATGCTGCTAAGGGTATCCGTACCATCAGGGAAGGGAGAAACGGCCAAATCGTTATAGTACCCAATAAGGCCGATGACATAAGCGCGGAAGAGGTCAATAAGAGCTTAGTGCCAATAGAAACGATGGTGGTGAACACAATAAAGAAGCATCTGGATGGTAAAGAAATTATTATCAGAGGGATAGATGCAGTCACTACCAAAGAGGATGTAGTATCGGCGGTACTGAATAAGCTGGAGATCGAACCACAAGACTGTAAAGCAGGTAATTTAAGACCTTATTTTGAATGTAATCATTCGATTACCGTCACTATCGAGAGAAGCAAGACTGACAAACTTCTATTGGCAGGTGAAATAAAAATTGGCCTGAACACGTGCAGTGTTACCGAATGGATACCGGTAACACAATGCTATAGATGCTGGGAATTTGGCCACACCAGGGTGAACTGCAGAACTGAGAAGCAATGACTGAAGGGGGTTGAAGGGGACTGTAGGCAAATGATTCCGGTTTATCTAAATTGCAAAGTACAGGGACATAGAGCAGGCAGCGGCAAGTATCCCGAATTTAGAAAGGCGCTCGCCAGGGCTAGGCGGGTGAAGAGTCGGCAAACGATACCAAAGTAATTCTGTGATAACTAATTACTGTGATATTTTTTGGAACATATTATGCTGTCGTATATCTCTGTGATAATAGTTTAGTTATATAGTAATGGTCGTTACTGATAGAATTAAACTGCTCCAGATCAACGTGGATAGGAGGAGTGCTGCTCAAGATCTAATGTTAAAAAGAAGCAAGTCGACATTGTTTTGATCAGTGAACTTAATAGGACGAAACCGGTCGCGTATAGGCCAATATATCTAATAGACGTAATGGAGAAACTCTTTGACGTGATTATCCTGATAAGATTAAACGCTGAGATCGAGCGTACCTGTTCATTCAACGACAGGCAGTATGGATTTAGAAAAGGTAAATTTTCAATAGGGGTTGTTGAAAAAGTGGTGGAGATCTTAAAGCGGGAAGGTAAAATAATTGGACTGCCCTTATATTTCTGGATATAAAGAACGCTTTCAATTGCGCGAGTTGGAGCATTATTATTCGTAATCTAGAGGCAAGAGAAGTCGCAGGGCATATCAGAAAAATAATAGGAGAGTATCTCAAGAACAGAATTGTAGAGGTGGATAAGAACAACAAGTTGGAGATAAATATGGGAGTTCCACAGAAGTCTATTTTGGGTACCACCCTTTGGAACATTCTGTATGACGGTATATCAAATATCGAAATGCCGAGAGGAACCACACTAGTGGCATACGCGGATGATCTGGCGGCGGTGGTGGTAAATCGAACCGAAAAAGGACTGGTGGAATCCGGAAACGAGGGGTTCCACAGAATAAATGCATGGATGCAAGGAAACGAACTGACCCTTGCCCCTGAAAAAGCCCATGGCCATAGCCATGTCGGGGATGCGTAGACCCAAAAACATAGCTTTTAGGTTAGGAGAAGTCGTCATTAATGTACAGAAGACGGTAATATATCTTGGGGTGGTGATTGATAAGACCTTAACTTTTGGTGCACATATAGAAAAAACTTCTGTGAAAGTAGGGTTTAACACGGTTAATACCTAATATCGGCCGGCCAAGAGAAGAAAGGAGGAGAGTTCTGGCAGAAGCTGTTAATTCCTTGCTCGTTTATGCAGCACCCGTGTGGTTAGATGTCATGAAGATAGCCAAGCACAAAAATAGGATGCTCGGCACCCAGAGGAAGATTATCCATAGGGTGGCGTTATCGTACAATATCTACGGAGGCCATTTTGGTGGTGGCAAGTTTAATACCAATCCACCTCCTGGCTGAAGAAAGAAGACGGCTGTATAGTAGGCATGACGCAAATAACGACGAAACAAAGAGGGCCGCAAGAAGGGTGACTTGGATAAAAGGCAACAGGAATGGAGCAGAGGCACGAAAGGGGGATGGACTCGAGCAGTTATCCCGGATATACATTCGCAAACACGGTCAGATAGGGTACCAACTTGACAGGTACTGACGGGTCACGGGTCGTTTAAAACATATACAAACAAGATCGGGAAGGCACCTGACGTATTTTGCGTATACTGCGGAGAGGTGGATACGTCGGAACACACTTTGTTTCAATGACAGAGGTGGCGAAATATATAAAAATAATATATTAATAATA